TTCCAGACCTCAAGGATCTATTTGTCTGGGAAATGACCAACCTATCATATGGGATGCTGTAATGTCTATTGTCACACATATGCAATGAACGAGGTGACCATTCGCAAGGAAAGTGGCGTGAAATTATTCTGTTCAGAAAGTGCTCTCGCAAGATGTGTTTTACCTCTTTACTAACATGCAGAGAGGCACCATCCTCCATAAAAAACATAGTGTCTATGACACTTCGTTGCTGCAGTATGGCGCAGATAGCCTGGTTGCCAAAAAACGTCAACTAACCATGCTACAGCATAAGAATTTGGTTATGAGAATTGCATGGTGTACTGATGGTTTGGTTTTTCAAATAATTACCATTCAGTAACAAAGTCAGCTGTGAAACTACATCACGCTGTCACTTTAGCATCATGGAGGTGTATAAGAAATGCTATATGTGGGTTAGTTTTCGACCATATAATGCTGTTGTGCGTGTCGACACTTCCAGAAAGGGCGAAATATTCTCCATGAGCTCATAAGATATTGAAAGCTCACTGACCATAGACTTACAGTCATTCCAAAAACAGAACTGCAAAAACAAAATCAACACGTTGGGTAAAACTCGCCTTTTCAGTTCTTAAACATGATTCAGCGTGTAAGGTAACATTCACAAAGTTGACCAAAGAGTTTTACTGGGCCTAACAAACGCTGAGAGACAAACGTACATTGCTACTGTCATAAGTACATCTGTTGGCTTGATCTGCTGAGGCATGGCTAACCTCAGCAACAGTTTTAGAAGGTGTCGGTGTCTACCTGTACATGACTTATCATACACGCAAGTTGTCTCCTCAAACTGTTTTATGAACTTACGCACAGCATCTTTGGAACAATTCCCTCTGCGAATGTTATGCACTCCATGATATTTTTTGAAAGTTACCCCAGTATTGCATCCTTTGGTGTAATAATATTTTATTAGTTCACCTCTCTACGCACTTGTCAGTTTCTTGTGGGTTGAATGAGGTGTTCTGCGACCAACAGGCTTATTATTACCAATGGAAAATATGCGACAGAAACCACAGTAGCGCCCCTGGTGGCAACATGTGACAAATCTGGCATTTGCATTCACGTGATAGCCTTAACACTCATATACGATTTCACCTTCCTATGACATATTATTTGTAAGAAATGATGTACTGAACTCCAAAAACTTTCTTTATAATCATCCCGTATAAAAGTAAACCAATATGGCGCCTCAACTAACGTAGATTATTTATCTTACCTCGCTGTTTCAAATACGCACAAGACGTTGCCATTCTTGCCTATCCTGGCCTGTCCTAGCATCTTCTCTATGTTGTTAGGTCCTATAAATTCTCGTCTCTAAGTGTTGTTTGTTGGAGATATTCTTTTGGTCAGCCCTTTCAGATGCTCAGTGACATCCCCACCAGGAGAAATGTTCTGGCTTCGTTCTTAGTAAAAGTCCCAAATATTTTAGTTTTTTTCTTTTCTGGTAGACTTAAGAGACAAGGGGTTGTTGAATACTTGGATGAATCTACAAACTTGGTATTAAAACGTTCCACTTAACAATTAATGCTTTTGTAAAGCTCAACAACTTGTTTTTCAAAGTATTTTGACGTTTATCTGCACCTTTGGTGGAGTTCAGTTTTTGTATCCATATGTTAATGTAGAAATAATATGCTTTCGGTGGCGCAGCGTAAATCTGAGAGCTTATTATGCTAAAAATTGAGTTCCGATACCAGCAGTGGACAGAGCACAGATAGTTCATTGTGCAGCTTTGTATTTAAGAACAAACAGAAATAGCATTTTAGTTGGAAATTCGTTGTTTGGTATTTAATTCTCATATTATGCCCAGGATTTTATATTATACTAGCGAAAGTACCCGGCATCGGTTGATAGTGTATGTCTTCTGAACCCATTTTAGCATAAAAGTATAACCTGCATACTTTTGTTGCTAAGCAACATGACATAAAAGCCATTGTTGGAACGCATTGTTACCAAAACGCATTGGTTTTTCTATATGTTAGAAGTTGTTATATAAGGAACCACTTCTTTCCTATGTGGTGTTTCGCATGCTTGCCTCATTAAAAAGATGCATACGCGCATAATAAGATAAGTAATATCCAGTTGCGCACCCTTAAGGTCCATTTAGTATGGGTGCAAAACTTCAGGTTTCTAGGTTCTTTCCTCTTGTAGCTATAGTGGTCACACAGACACGCACATGCGCATGCACACATGTGCACGTCTGTCTGTCTGTCTGTGATTTCTGCTTGTAATATAAGGAACCACCTGTTTTCTATATTGTTTTTCGCTAGTTTGCCTCATTAAAAAGATGCATGCGTGTACGTGGAAAGTAATAATACCCAGGTATACACCCTCCAGGTCCACTTAGTATGGGTGCAAAATATTAGGTTTCTAGGTTCTTTGCTCATGGAGCTATAGCGGTCACATATTCTTTTCTATGAGGTTTTCCCTTGCTTACCTCACAAAAAGACGCACAAGCGCACCCGCACGTGAATAGGTATTAATACCCAGGTGCACACCCTCAGGATCCATTTAGTACGTGTGCAAAATTTCAGGTTTCTAGGTTCTTTCCTCTTGGAGTCACGTCAGTCACACACACAGACACGTCATTTTATTATTGTAGATTGACCTGATGTGAATTAAAACAAATTTAATCAGCATTGAATTGGTTTTTAGATATCATTTACTATTTTGTTCTATGTTTGACATTTTTAGCGTCATGGACTTTCAGTCTTACCGCTGATCCACCTGAAGACTGCATTTATGGAAACCAGTGTTGGGTCAAGTAGAGCAGAAATGTAATAGGAGGCTTAAGTTGTACTGTTACTGTATTAGGATGACCAAATCTTGTTTACGTTGGTGAAATCAATACAGATATGGATCAGTGGTTAGAGTGCCAACTATGGATCCAAGGGTTTGTGGTTCTTGTTCCATTGCTGCAAAATTGCACTTCGCACTTTTGGGTCTTAGGTGCGTTATAAGAGAGGCTGTCAAATCCCACTATTCACTTGTAGTAGTTCACGAATTAGCGGCGGTTGATGTCGATTAGCTACCTTCCCTCTAGTCTATCACTTCTAAATTAAGGGCAGCTAGTGCAGATAACCCTCCTGTAGCTTTGAGCGAAGTTCAACAAACATCACATCTCGTCGTCTTTTTAAACTGTCATTAGTCAAGTGGTTAAGATATTTGAAAAAATAATAATTAGTAAATGTAGGCAAAATTCATCTATGATCACACGTACATAAAGAAAAGTGTAGACTAATATAAATATATCCAATAGATAGCCGCAATATATACATATACTTACTAGGGTTGGGAGTTGTTGAGATTAATGGTACAGCAACCAGAACTTTTCCGTCTATTCCAGTGCAGGTAAGTTCTCCATTTTGAATTCTTCTTTCTAGTTCTTTTTTTGCTTCTTCAAGTGACGTCTGGTCAATGCTGTAACTTTCATCGTGAACTGGAACCAGGTTGAAGCTGAAGATAATACTTCCTGTTTTGATGTAAATAACAGCATTTACTGACCTAGAGAGATGACTCTACCTGATAAGACTAATCCACAAATATGAAGTTTGAAGTTAAATTATCGGATTCACAAAAAACATTTCCAACTGTTTTAAGCAACAATGACATTCATTAGCGTTAATATCTTATTTATTAATCAAGACAACTGCGTTTTTGATGTCTGTAATATACAGGCAAACCTTTTGATCTTCTGACTAAGATTGAATGCAGGTGACCTCACAGCCTTATTTTGTGGAGTTATTAATTAACTAAATCCCATTTATAGCCTTTTTAAGGCACGCTAAGCATCAGAAGGGATTTTCCTAACTAAACAATTGAACGTTTTTAATTTTGATACGTGTATTATACAATAGCACAACTCGATAGAATTTATAGCTGACTTCTAACATGTTTTACTTCTAATAAGATTTATATCCCCTGCTGTGATTGGCTCTTCCAAAAAAAATTTCCAAGTAATATTTTAATTGGGAACTTCCATCATCAGCCAAAATAGTATATTGTTAGAAACACTGGTAAAATGCCAATGACATTTGTAGCCAATCAGAATTTTAACTTTTATTTGTCATTAGAGAAACAGAAATTTCTATTTCTAAGCTGCACATTAGGCAGTTTAGAAATGCACGTCCACCCACCAGAATTACACAACACATGATGAATTGCACATTAATAGAAACCCTGCTTTAATGTGTATATTGCACGTCTTTGCTTCAAAGATGTGTAGAAGGCCAACAGAACAAATTGACTATAGAGTGTTCTAAAATAGAGTTGCATAGGAAGTCCATTTATAATCACTTATAGACAGAAGTCGAAAATACGACAAAGCAATCGGAGGTTAGCTGTAAAATTCAAATATGATTGTTAGTATATTAATATTTAGTTGTTTCACAAATGTTACCGTATCATTAAGAACTTGTAAGTACAGACATGACTAGTCTTCAATATAAATATTAAAATAATTGTTTGTGATCATCTTATATTGCACAACGGTATGTCTACGGATAGCCCATTGTGTAGATTTGTGCTTACATTCAAACAAACAAACAAATCAGACCTCAGATACTGAAATTCATTATTTTATGCAAAGATTTCGAATTCCTAAATTTTATACCTTCTGACCGATAGAAATTAACTTTAGTATAAACTGTTATTAAAAATAAAGAGCGAGGTGGTATTTTGGGACTATGTATACAAGAACAGCACGTATTTTGTAAATTATCATTCTGTGTCTAACTTTATCTACTAAACATACCTCTTTACAAATCTGCAAAAAAGGCGAAATTATCTACGTTTCGAAATCCCATACAATTTAGACTTAATTAAAATGAAAATTTAGAAAATACTTACGTTAAATAAGTCTTTATAATAATCTTAAAGAGAAAACAACACCTATTAAAAGAACAACGAGTTTTAGTTTCATCATGAAATTTGTTGTTTAAATACACAGAAAGCCAATGTCGTTTTTTAAATCATTTACCTTCAGACACAGTAATATCCTGAAAACACTTTTCCGGGAGTCTTATTTTTAAGGAGAGTTGAGATACTATATGATTTTTGAATTTCTGTTCTCGTCCTTTGACAACGATGTCATATTTATCATCAAACTTAAACGCAACTGATATTTTCACAGTGCTAATACTGTTAGTAGTAGGTTTTCGAGTTATGGATGAAGATGAGGCAACAGAAGGAGCTTCTGTCGATTGTGAAGATGACGTTGGAGAAGGACTTGACGATGTAGGACTACTGGAGCTTGTTGGTGATTGGCTAGAAGAACTAATCTGTGAAGAACTAGTTGATGATTGGCTAGAAGAACTAATCTGTGAAAAGGTAGTTGGTAATTGGGTAGAATAACTCATCTCTGAAAGACTCGTTTCTTCAGTATTGTCAGTACTAGCTGAAAGATCTTCTGTCGTTCCTGTGAACTCACTCGTTTCATCAGTAAAGTCTGTTGTCAAGGTTTCGCTAGAGGTTTCTTCCGTACTATCCAAGTCAAGAGTTGATGAAATATCGTCAGTAAAATAAGTATCTGTTGTAGATATTAAAATATTTTCATAAGGGGGTTCTTCTGTTTCAATCGTCTCCATAGAAACAGAATGAACAGGCATCTGTTCACCATCAAGACTTGTTAATGCCAATGTTCCATTCTCACTCATTTTCTTCAATTCTTCAGCTTTTCCCTCTGAGTTGTTAGAACTTGTCATGTTGAAATCAACAACAATACTTCCTATAAAAAACAGCAACAAAAGCCAGTTAGTCGTATTGAACGTCAATGTAAAAAAATGTCCATAACGTAAGGATTGACAATATTGCTTGAAACATTCTAAAACATAAAACATAAACTTTGAAACAAAACTTAAAACCTGTATCATAGTAAAAAAAATGTATCATTTCAATGTATCAATTCAACCAGAAGATTGGATTATCATGAAAACAGAAGTGGAATGCGTGTAAATCTTAGCAAACTCTTATTCATGTTTTGTTTTTATCTTAGTCTGGAAACAGAGAAAATGTATTACAGAATGCAAGATCTTTCTATTTAAAAGATCACTAACTTCTGATTTCCTGAAGCATTATCATTATCATCCTTCTTGGCGTTTTGATTTTTAGAAGCTGCAGAACTGGCAGAATAACATGGGCTGATGGAATACTTTTTCTTCCACTAAGTTAAATGGTATAGTACAAAGACCAATGTTTCTAATCCCGTAGTTTTAAAGCCTGATATAGATCTCTTCGAGTTTATTTGTGCGGCAAAACATCCTAGATTTTGTACTAAAATTATGGTGTTGAAGTTTAGTCAAAGTGAGGAACATAAATACTGTTTTATATACTTTGCAATGTAAAATATACCTTAGTAAGCAATGTTAGAAGGATTGTTCCAACGTTTTATTTACTATAAAATAACCACAATGACATTGTAAACCATTTTCTTCAGTTGAAACGGGCTATTTCTTTGAGCCATATTATTGTATATCAGGTTCTATTTTTACATCCAAAGGATTAAGCTTTATACGCCCCCAGTAGCTTAGCGGTAAGTTTGAGGACTTATAATGTCAAAAATTGGGTTTCGATACTCGTGGTGGGCACACCACAGGCAACCCATTGTTTTGCCTTTGCGGTTCGGTTCGTAACAAACCAACCAACAAACAGCAGCTCTATATATTTATCAGAGCCACCTAGATCTTGTTTTTACGGAAATATAATATGATAGTAAGAAATTTTTGAAACGAAAGCATATAATAAATTTCAAACTAGTAAGCATTTGCTTAGAAAGGCAAAAATAAGTTGGTCTTAACGTGTACTTACATTTCATGTCGTATTAGGAATAACATTCTCTAAAGCCACGTGTTTACGATATTCGATAGACTACAACTTCAATTGACATAAATTTTAAGAGTAATTCGTAAAGTTAAATATTGTGTTTTGAATTGTATTATGTAATTTTATTTAAATCATCGTAATTTTGTACTTTGTTAATAAAAACATAATTAGCACATCCACACAGCAAACGCCATATAACACAACATACCTCTTCTAACTGTAAGACCTCGAATAGTAGACAATTGAGTTTGTAGAAGATCGGCTATTTGTTTGCGAATATGATCTATGAATTCCTGCTTTCTTCCTGACACAGTCTTGTTATAATCAGAATTTAGTCTGATTGTAACTCGAACGAACTTTTCCTGTCCAGTGTTTTGATAGCTCTTCATCTTTCCGAATGTTTCAGTGTCGTTTACAGTATCGTAAAGTACAAATGATTGTGTAACTGTTGGAGACTCTGTGGTTGACGGTATGTCTTCAAGAACAGGTCTAAAGAAAGTAAAGGACAACCAAAGCTATTAAAATATAAAAAAACATTTAAAGTAAATCACTCTGACTAACCACTTTTTAGGGCCTCACTAAACCCATCGCATTTATCACGTTAAAACTCTAGACCGGACGTAGCATAGACTCCATAAGTTTTCAGAAGGCATCTTATTCGATTGTAACTCGTTCCTCAAAGACTATGGTTGGAAACTGGCTGAACGATGTCATAGAGGATTATGGTGGCGAATGCAACGTTCAAGTTCATTCCAAAGATACTTCTAACCAGACTGAGATCTGGTGCTTGTTCTGGCCAATGAAGTTAACTAAAATCATTATTATGTTCTTCGAACCAAACGTTCTAACAATAGAAGTGTTTTGGATTGTTGGTTACCACCCCAGAAGAGCCTTTGTACATCAGGTTGGAGATGCAGTTTTGTGGGGTGAAGATGGTCTGGAAACAACATCTAGAAACATACTGGATACTATTTGCCCTTTTAAATAAATCAAAGGGTTTAGATATTGCCATAAGGACAGTTTCCACACTATTACACTATCTCCAGCAGCTTTCCAGTATAACACAAACAGAGTCAGGTTCTTAATGTAGTTTCTTCTTTTTTACTTTGCAATCAGCACAGAAAATATGTTTAAAAACACAGTTCACAAGTCACATCATACGCTTTTAGGCATTTATTGCTAATATGTCTTCGGTTTGAAGTTGCAAGAATCCTGATTACATTCTGAAAAAGTCGATCACTTGGGACACAGTTTGACGCTTACTGAATTTTACAAGCTGGTCCAATTGTTATTATTTTTCCTCGTTCACCACAATTGATTGGTGACTATGGTTTCTTTATAGTGGCAGATGTACTCCCTTGATTGGTGACTATGGTTTCTTTATAGTGGCAGATGTACTCCCTTGATTGGTGACTATGGTTTCTTTATAGTGGCAGATGTA